TATAGGAGATTTTCCTTTTATATGTTAGAGACATATTTGAAATATCTGAAAAAGAATATATAATGTAAAGTACCGTTTATGCATCAGTTGCCTATTGATTCAAATTCTAAAGCTTGGTATAATTAAATATATGCCTTAACATTTGTATTATCTGATTTGGAATATGTCAGTTATAAGAGACATTTGTATGATTCCTATGGGAAAAGGTATTGCATATGATAAAGGTGAGATCAACCGTTTCCATTCAGAGAATATTCGGCATTTATTGATTGAACAGATAGTGTTACTGCCGGTTGAAATTTATAAAATCTTTCTATTAAAACGGTTTATTTTAAAGGAAAATAGGATTCTCAAGCCTACTAATTTTTATCTCTCTTTCTAGTATTGATCGGAGTTTCTTTGCAAACATTTTGTTTAATGTAGTGTGGAAGGTCAACAGCTTGATTATGTCATTATCTTCTCCTCTGGTTACAAGCGCTATCCATTTCAGTTGTTACTGCTTTTGTGAGTTTTCAAGTGATGCGCATTTTGTTATTTGATAAAGTTCTTTGTGATTCTAAAGCGTTAGTCTATGAGATCTAATGAAGTGTTGTCTTTTTTAAGACCTAGGGGATTCATTCGCTTGAAGCCATTTTTAATCATTGATCTGAGAAAACGGTTTCATATAGATGATAGTTTAGGCATTTCTGAACGAGTTGGAAGCCATATTTTTAAAGTGGTATCTAAAATTCCTAATAGTAGTCGAGTGGAAGACAAGGTTCTGATTAGTGGATCAGTGGATATAATTACATTTTAGCGCTACGTTTGTGATCTGCGAAACCATGTTGTCAATGCAAATATCATTAACCTGAACGAGAAGAGAACAGCTTTGCAAGGAAAGTCTGATCAATATTAGAAAAAAAGATAAAATTTAGTAGGCTTGAGAAGCATATTTTCCTTAAAAATAAACCGTTTTAATAGAAAGATTTTATAAATTTCAACCGGCAGTATCGAAATAATATTGAACTGAAATCCCTAAAGTTTTTACTCATGTCAGAGAGCAACTTTTTGTCTAAAATCAACGGAATTTGATTAGTTGCACGAATTAATACCAAATCAATCACTTTCGTAATAACAAAGATTATTATTTTTGTGCGGAAGTTAAAAAAATAATATTAATATGCTGTGACAGCTTTTTAGTAAGACAGCTGAGGAGTAATCATTGAAGAGAGAAGAATGGATAGAAAAAACAAGAGAAAAAAAAAAAAGAAAACGACCTTTTTCCGGAGCAACAAAATTACTTGAATGTTATATATTTATTCATTAGTATTATAATATTAGGGACAAAATAAAATAATGGCATTAGAATTATATCATCATTATAATATTATAATATGAATCATTTGCTACAATGACATCAGAATAAAATCCACTGACATATCATGGGTAATTTTAAGTAATGTATAATATACATAACTTAAAATTACCCATGATATGTCAGTGGATTTTATTCTGATGTCATTGTTCTACAACTGTCCCCGTCATTTTCTTAATAGAATGAGTTGGTAAATTCAGTCTTCAAAGCTCCAAACACAGTTTTGATGACATTGTATTAAAAGTATGAGAGAAGCTGTTTGAAATGTAATATATATTCTGTATATATATAAACTGCACTTTAATTACACGTAGATGAGAACATGAATTGGGCACACCTTTGTTAAAGTGAAAAAATTACGCAAAATTATAATAAAAATGACGGAAATTTTTCTATTGAAAATGAGGCTAACAATGGTGCCATCAAGTGGTGGAAACAAAAATTCAAGTAAGTGATGCAGCCTGCCCCATGTACCAACCGGATTCAGTATTTTATCGTTAATATGACTACGTGTTATAATGCTCCGGTATAAAACAAAAGGTATGTATATGTAAATGAAGACTTGATAATTCATTAGATAAAAAATAGTATTTTTGTTTAATAGAACTTTTATGTAGTTTGATTTAAATTTGTTTTTCGCTATATTAGAATAGATGCTATAAGATAATCTTAAGCAGAAGTTGAGGCTGAGTTTCCACTGGCACTACTTGAGTAACTAATCCTTTCCAAATGAACAAGTTTAATTTGTGTAGATATAAAGTCTTACGTTATTTAAAGAATATATCTGATGTTTCAAAAGTAGATACATAAAAATAAAATTAGCTGAAAGGTTCGGAAGGATTCCTTAACCGGTATTGTTGTTCTTTTTTGATGGACGCTGGCGATCGCGGCTCTCCACAACTTCCTGTACTGTGTGGCTCTTAGTGATGTTTACCATTTTGTTATCTCTCTTAAACTCTGTTCTGAAATCGTTAGGTTGGTTATTCATTGTTTTCCTCACTCTCTTTCTCACCTTCAATGTATTGTGAGTGTCAAATTCTCTGAGCCCTCTTTCCTCATTATGTACGCTAGAGATTTCATTTGTCCCTCTCTGATTCTAAGTATAGGTGTTTCTTTTGTTTTCATCATCCGTAAAACTTCCTCATTATTCACATGTTCAGTCCATGGTATTCTCAACATCATTCTGTAGAACTACATTTCTGTTACCTCAAGTCTCCTCTTCATCTGTGAGGACCAGCATTAACTGCCATATAGGAAGACCGATATTACATAACAGTTCAGTACTATTTTCTTTGCTTCTAAATTACTTAAAGTAATGTCATTTAGGTACCTCTTTTCCTGGTTGATAGATACAACAATAGTGATGTTGCTTCTTTATCTGTAATTAGACTCCAGATAAAAGGGAAAATTTCGAATTTTTAATCAAACTATTTTTTTTATTAATAGAAGCTTGAGGTTATACAATGTTATCACTTTCTACAGTCAGTACATTAGTACAAGGTAACCCCAAAAGTCCTTGCCATTTTTTATTTATTAGAAAGAAAAAGGTACACAGCAAACTTGACATAACGTTAGTCTTTAAAGTATCCCTAATCGGCATTGAGATCTTTTTGTAAACGTGCCTCCAGCTCCAATGCCATGGGAGTAAAAATCAGATGTTTGGGATGCAAAGAAGTCTGTGAGAGCAAGTCTCCTCATTTGCGAAGGATTTCCCACGAAGGTGATTGTCCAGGGAATGAAAGAGGTAATAATCTATTGGCGCAAAGTCCAGAGAGTAAAGTGGATGGCACAGTGTCACCCAGCCTAGTCGCTGTATAGTAACCTTGGCAGGCTAAATGTGCTACATGAGGCTTAGCATTATCATGGAGGAACAGTACACACTTACGGTTAATCAATGCTGGCTACTGTTTCAGTGTCCGTTGCACACGGTCCAATTGCTGCGAGTACAGGTACGCAGTGATGGTTTGGACAGTTGGTAGCAGCTCATAGTGCACCAATTATCAATTAGTCAATCAGATACAGAGCATGACTTTGCGTGGGTGTAGAGGTGGTCGTGTAGTGTTTACTCACAGCCTTATCCTCAAAGACTTGACATATTCGGCGACTTGATGTGGACAAGCCCACCTTAAAGTAAGAAAGCAGTCAACCCCGAACGAACTACTTCGACACCACCATATTTCCTTGCTGGCTGCTCGAGCTATGACTGATGTATGTGCTCAACGCAACTAGATTGGTCAAGAGCAATGTACCCACCCCACCGCTTTTACGTGACGCACTCATTTGTGTATCAGTGACCACTTCTTCCTACACAACGTAAAAAAAAAACGGCAAGGAATTTTTGGGTTATTTTGTAACATTTTAACATCTGCATTACTATCTATCTCTATATTTAGCTAGCTATGAGGGTCGGCTGGAAAGTTCATAGGCTGAACTTTTATCTATTTTAGTTTACCAACTGGTGTATCTACTTACATTTATATCTTGGTCAGCCTATGAACTTTTCAGTCGATCCTCGTATCTATCTATCTATTGCATAACTATACCCTAAAAACATTGATAAAATCCATTCTTCTCTTCTTCTATGTGCCGTGTTCTTTTAGAACGTGGGCGATCATAGCTCTCCACAACTTCCTATCCCTTGTCTTTTTGCTATACCTCCTTTCCTCAGTTCTACCATTCATTCACACAAGTTTGTCAGGGAGATGGCTGGCTGCTTCTCTCTGTCCCTTTTGCTTTTGATATACCCTATCACTGTCAAATTTTTGAAGCCCTTCTTTTCTCATTATAGATATCCAAGAAATTTCAGCTGTGTCTTTCTCATTCTGAGTATAAGTGTCTTTTTTACTTCCATTTTCCTTACGACTTCTTCGCTGCTTGCACACTCCGTCCATAGTATTATACATTTGATCATGCAAAATCCCTTTTTCAAAGCTAATGGAATAGACAGAAACAGTATTCAGTAATTTGAATTTGATTCAGAATTAAAGGTTTTGTTCTCAATCTAAATTATTTGAACTCTAAACCTTATGGTCTTCATTTATGCATTGTTACCACTAAGAAACCACTTCGGAACTCCATCTATTCTTTAGTTGTTATTTGCTTTGATACAATAATCTTATAAACGACTCCGTCAAGTTACACAATAAGATGCATTGTCAAGTTATTTGCTCAGCACGTACTACGCAGTTGTAATTTATTAACGATGTCTTGAGACATACGCCTTCCTTTCAAAAACTGATATATATATATATATATATATATATATATATATATATGTGTGTGTGTGTGTGTGTAAGAAAAATATACTACGTAAAGAAAAGAAAAAAAAACTGTCTGTCGATATTAGCTACACATTGTTTGCGTTTGCATTTATTACTTCCAACATGTTCACCTCTTTAAATATAAATAACAAGAGGTTTGTTAATTCAGTTCAGTTGCCGGGAAGATCACTTGCCATTGCTACCACCACCAGAGTCCCATCAGAGCTAAGATTAACCCCAATACGGCTGACAAGACAATTGCTCATAGAACAGGGATTAGCGCGCTGAATTTACATGTCAGAAATCATAGATTAGCTGCACATTAGGTGCTTTCAGAATTTAATGAACTTATTCAAGGTTTCTCATAAAAAACTAATCTATGATTCTTACGACCATATCACGATGAAATACCGGTTCTCGTACGATCACCGAAGTTAAGCAACGTCGAGCCTGGTCAGTACCTAGTAGTACTCGAGAATACCAGGTGCTGTAAGCTTAGTGTGATGTAATGGATAATTATTAATCGGAAAGCCGTTTTCCAATTCCCGTTGGGTTTGTTACGTGCAAATACCCTTGGGAAAGGTATGAATCCACCTCTTCTGCCTCCAGCTATGTGTTAATTAGTACGGGTTGTATCAGTAAATCATTATTATCTCCATAAAATTATTACAATCTAAATAAATTTTCTAGCTTTAAATAACCTGTAAAAGGCTGATAATCCGTAAAAAACAAATCAATCAAAATCAATTTGATTCTTGACATATAGATTCAGTGCACTAATCATTGTTAACATCAGGCAAGCAGAGCTGAGTTCTGTACCAAATAATAGAAACCTAATCACTTGAGGATTTTCAACAACAGAAACATAAAAATGGATAGTATAGTATATTTGACTAGAAGACAAAATAATGACATAATCAAGATATTGACCTTCCACACTACTTTAATTAAAAGGTTAGGAAGGAAACCCCCATCAACACTGGAAAGATAACAGCTACTGGACCTCAGAAACTTGTTTAAGAGAAAGATTTAAAAAATTTCAACCGACAGCAACACTGGCTGTTTCGTTAATGAATACAGAATGTTTCCTTATAAGGAAATAGTTACTATTAACGTTACCATTATCCCGCTGTCAGATTTAAAAATTAAAATAAAAAGCAGAGCCAGGTAATACGATTACGGGGTAGTGAATAGCTTAGTTGACTGCAACGTCTGTTGCTCATTGATATTTGAATCTCTTCCACAAAATGACTGAATCCGCACAATCTTCATAATTGCTTCCACCATTATTAATAATTTTGGTGCCGGTCAAGATAGGTCTTGAATTTAGTCTGCACCCTTCCATCCCACCCATCATCATTATCATAACAGCAGAAAGTAATTTTTAGATAAAAAATTCCTTTAACTCAAGCAATTTACCAACAACGATTTCTTTGCGGTTATTTATCAAGTCCGGGTTTATAGAATTAGACAGGGTTTCAACGATTTTAATCTTAATTGCACTCGTCAGTAGGATGTGTAGGAGGCTGCTTCGTAAATCACAAGAAGAATTAGCCTCAATAGAAATATAAAACGCACTTTTCAAGATAAAAAAATGCAATCTCCACGAGAGTAGGATAAAGAAAATGGCAAGTCAGTGGCAAAGAATTGAAGTTAACTGAAAGAGTAACAAGAGCGTTTCTCGAACGTCATCACAATTATTACGAGTGATGCGACTCGTGCCATGTTGTCTGTAAGATACCAGTATTCTAAGAGGAAGTATTTCCTTTATTCCCCGAATTATTTGCTATCATTTGATAGTTGATATAATGAAAAACTTGGTTAACAGCGACATCACAAGTAGTAGGGGCATCGGTTTTAGATAGCATTTTAGTCAGTTAGACTAGTAAGACATTACTGATGAGTTCGTTCCACAATGGTTACGTTATTAACCTAGCTTTTCAACTATGTTAGTTTCGTTCTCTAAATATCTATCATCAACATAGGAACGATACTTACCGTGATTAGTTTGCTATCATCATCCATGTTACTGTCAAGATTAAAACTAATTTCTCTTAATTTATTCATTAGAATAATAAATAATATAAAATAAAATAACGACAAAATGTAAAATGTAAAAGGATTTAAAAGGGTTTATATAATCCGACCAAATTCATATTCAGTGAGTAGTGTAACGGTTAGCTTATCAGAAAGAGAAATCGACGAACCGAGTTCGAATTCCGGTCGAGTTTCGTTACATTCGCTTTCGCACAAATTTTCTCGGGGAAAAGGTATGAATTCATCTCTTTCCCCTACCAGCGATGGGTTAAATAGTAGCTCTATAGCAGTGGAACGCAACCAGTCTAGGAGAAGGACAGCTGTGAATTCAAGACCAGTCATGTAACACTGGCGAGAGGCAGCTGTATAACCATTGAAGAGATTAAGGAGATAACCCACTAAGTGCGGTGCGGAGTTTATTGTCCTCAGCTTTGTTGTTCGAAATTCCAACAAATATCACATGAAGAAGGCCGTGGCATTAAACGGCCGAAACGTCATGAATGTGGCAATAAAGTTGAGAACAACAGTCAGAACAATGTAAATAGTGTAAATCTCTGTTGTTGTCATCACAATGTTTCGGCCGTTGTTGCCTCCGGCTTTCATCAGTGTATATCGATCCGGGTAATTGACAGGGAATTCTGAACTGAACTGTTGTGGTAGGATCCACCTAATTTGCATAGTGGAGTACCGACCATATAAATATGGTTGGTACCGGGAAGAGAAAGGGGGAGTAATCAAGAGATTCAATCCAGAGACTCTGCCCGACTGCGACTAAGTCAACCCATTCTCCAGGAACGGTCTTCCCAAGAAGATACAAAAGACTATATGTAAATATTGTGTACACTTTCTTGTTTCAATACATTTTGTTCTAAGTACATTTTGTGTTGTATTATTATTCCATGCATTAGTCAAGTTTCAACATGAACCTTTTATTTAATCTACGGGAGTGAAATGTTCTCTACCCCCTGCCCATATATAGAGAAATCTTGTCTAGTTCTTATTCAATAATTCGTTGTGATAACAAGAACAAAGATAAAGACAATAGTACGAATTAAAATAGTCTACTTAGTGTTGTGACGAAGTTGGTTAGTCAGATGCAAACATCTATATATATATATATATATATATATATATATATATATATATATATATATATATAAAAAAGAGATTGCGTATATATGTATGTTTGTTTGTACAACGATCGAGCGCACGTCTTTTTTAATAATAAATTCCTTTACCGACTCCTTTCAAATTCGGGCGAGCTGAAGAAAAAGACGGAAAAAAATTTCGGAGCTTGTGTGAAATTTTCTTTGGATTAATGAAAACTTTATTTTTACAAGAATTAGCCGTGGAAAGTAGATAAAGAAAGAAAAGAAAATAGCCATCCTATGCGAAATCCTTTTCGATATAAAATAAGGAGAAAAATGAAATCAATAAAAGAAGAGCATCCGAAGTCATGTAAAGCGTTCAGATTTTCGCCAATGTGAATTTACTCGGCCTTACACGAAGCGCTTGATATTTCCAAAAACTTTATTTCAACTATCCAAGAAAGCTAAGGTTAAGATGTATCGGGGCACCCTGGCATTAAGTTTGATGGGTGCCTAGGTAGAATGTACAATGTACATCCCAGCTAACATGTTTTTATCTTCGTTTTCTTCTTAACGAAGTTCGAGGCCCAACATTCACCCAGGATCTTAAAAATCTAAACGGACTAATTTGTAGGACCTAGCGAGAAATGTCCTTGAGTCGGGGTTTACTTGAAGATGATACCCAGTGGAATGCAATAATGGCTGAGGCTATTGTCACAGTCTCCTGGGAATCTTATGTCGCTCTTCGCAGTCCTATTGCAAATATGTGAAGTTAGTGATCCTGGCTCTCTGTGGCATAAGTAGGGATAGCTTATCTCAAGACTTTAAGCACCAAGCCCAACTTCAATTTACAGGTATGTAAATACATTTCAGTGATTAAATTTACAACAGGGCGTTAATCGTTATAAAAAAAAACTATGTCGTTTCTATTGGAGTAAATGTGTTACCGACCTATAGGTCGCCCAAAACTCATCAGACTGGGACAGATGTCTTACACATAGAGGTGTTGAGAGAAACATTTTATGATATCAATGCTCTGTGTGCATATGTTGTTGAAAATGAGCGAAGGTTGCTTTTGGAGCAAAGGAGAGCTTATAACAATGTTGAGTGTCTGCTTCTTCAAAGGTGGAATGTTCTTCCTAGATGCTTCTGAAGGGACAGGGAAGATATTTGTTACTAAGCTGATTTTAGCCAAAGTTCGACAACACAAAGACATAGCTTTGACAGTGGTCTCACCTGGTATTGCTGCAACTTTGCTGCCTGGTGGCCAAACTGCACATTCAACTTTTAAACTTCCATTGGACTTGACTTCATTCGATAATCCAATTTCCGGTATCAGCAAAGCCTCTGAATTCGCTCAAGTACAAAAAAAGGTGCAGGTTCGTCGTATGGGATAAATGTACCATGGCACACAGGGCAGCTCTGGAGGCATTGGCATTGTCAGTCACCTATGCGAGGTATAACATTCCTGCTATCTGGAGACTTTAGGCAAACACTGCCGGTCATACCAAAAGGGACTAGAGCTGATCAAGTCAGAGCATGTCTCAAATCTTCTCCGTTGTGGCGTCATCATCGAACGTTGACTCTGAGCACCAACATGAGTGCACATTTATTTGGAGATCAGCTGTCAGCTCAGTTCTCCTGCAACATTATGAGACTTGGCAATGGCAACGTACCTTTAGATGCTAATGAAGCGATGACCATTAGCCCGGTCTGCAATATTGTCAGTACTGCTGATGAGCTTAATGCCAAGGTTTTCCCAAACCTCCAACATAATTAAAAAAAACTACAATTGGTTATCCGACAGAGGAATACTGGTTCCAAAGAAAAAAGCAGTTGACATAATCAATGACGAACTGTTGTAGTCCATCCTGGAAACATCACATATCTTCAAGTCAGTGGATATCATTCCAGATCCGGAACAGGTGGTTAATTGTCCAACGGAATCTCTGAATTCTCTAGAACCTCTCGGATTACTTTCACATAGACTGGAACTCAAGATGGGTGTGCCTCTGATGCTATTACGGAATCTGGACCCACCAAGACTTTGAAATGGCCCCATACCACATGTAATTGAGGCATCGTTTTTAATGGAAATGGAAAAGGCGAAGATGTTTTTATTCTTCGTATTCCCTTATTCCATTAGGGTCGGATATTTCATTCACGTTTAGGGGACTAAGTTTTGCTATGTTATTCACAAAGCACAAGAATATCAGTTACTTGACTACAGTTAGAAGAATCCTATTTCTGTCATGGGCAGTTGTATGTTGGTTGTTTACGTGTTGGGAGTAAAACCAATTTGTTTGTTTATGCTCCACAAGGAAAGACAAAGTCTACCCAGAAAAGTATTATAGTGTAAAAATTGTTTA